GGACCAAATAATCCTATTACATGAAATGCGCCAAAACCAAAACACGCCACCCCTGCAAGAAATAAATGAATTCCAAATATTTTTGGTAAATCCAAAGAAGGTTTTCCAGTACGTTCATCACAAAATATTTCTAGATCCCAATAGACCAAATGCCAAATAGCCGCCAAATAGCACAAGCCCGAAAACACAATATGTGACGCGGCCACACCTTCGTAACTCTAAATACACGGATTCGTTATAGTGCCTCCTGTGATATTCCAACCACCCCACGAATTGGTTATTACTAAACGAGTCATGAATGGTATAATGAACATACCCTATCTCCACATTGGGTCAAGAACCGGGTCAGAGGGATCAAAAACTGCTAATTCATATAAAGCCATCGAACCGGCCCAACCAGCAACCAGAGTTGTATGCATTATATGGACAGAAAGTAAACGGCCGGGGCGAGTTTTTTGTTGAAAGTATTCTCTTTTTTATCAGAAAGATAAACAGTAATATCTTCTTCTTCTTCATTAGTTTCTTCCTTTTCCCAATCTATTGCAGCTTTGACTTCCTCCAGGTCCCTGTCATCGTATCGCATCATTTCCTCAATATATTAATATGGGAGCGGTGTTCTGCCTAAATAGTGTGCAAAGCTAACAAATTAAAAAACAACAAATATTTGCCCCACATAATTTCACAATTGTAGGAGAATGTATTTATCAAATCTCATAGTTATCTTATATTTGATCGACTTTTTGTGTTGTAACCAGACTAATACCAATCCAATACATTTAATTAAAAAGATGTGACCTATTAACCACCCAACAAAACTACTTGGGGAAACAGTAGATGATGTTCTTGATATATCGTCGTTATTATTCGGGGGCTTATATTCATATATATATTAGAACTATATGGTATCAAGAGTTTCAATTTTTGAGAAGTATAATAGTCATCCAATAATGGGGATTTCCTTTTTTTCAAATGAACTGTTTGCAGACCTATTGATTCTAACAACTGATTCTCGAGTGAATCATTCATACGTTTCAATTCATACATATGGATCTGGGACCTATGAACGAGCATACTCCCGAAACTCACAAAGAAAAAAGGAAGTGAGTTAGACAAAAAGGGAAGAAGCTTGGACAAAAAGAAACAAAGTGACTTAGAAAAATCTTTTTTGTCGATAACCTCAGCCCAATCAATCGAATATGAATTCATATGTAATCGATCGGACACTACTTTAAAACAACTATTCTGCTCTCTCAAAAAGAATTGTATTATTCTACAAGAGATGGAATCTTTTTTTGAATCCCTACCTAAATTTAGAGTAGTAGCAGAACAAATTTAGATAGATCGTCATATATAACTAATGAATATCTACTATGACATTTACATTTTTGTTAGATTAAGCATCCATAATAATTCAAATAAATGACGGCTAGAAGATGTAATAGATACTTTAGAACCTATTAGCCCAATTTAGGTTCTAATACCACATAGGAGATGGAAATTCGTTTTGGAATAAAGAATTTTGTACTCAATAAGTAGTTCCTATAACAAAAGAATTCTTCGATATATTTCTTGCTGGAAGTATCCCTGATCCCATTGATAACGAGTACGACCAAATAATTCAATCGGGGTAGTTGTTGAACCATACCACATAGTTCCAGCAACAACAAAAGCTGCAAAAAATACAGCAGCGATACTACTGGAAAGGACGGTTTCAATATTTCCCATACGCAATCCTTTGTATAAACGTTGAGGTGGACGCACACTAAGATGGAAAAGAACCGCTAATATGCCCAATGTCCCTGCTGCAATATGATGAGAGGCTATTCGCCCCGGAACAAAAGGATCAAAACCGTCCACACCCCATGCGGGATTTACAGATTGTACCCTTCCTGTTAGTCCATAAGGATCGGATATCCATATTCCAGGACCAAATAATCATGTTACATGAAAGGCGCCAAAACCAAAACACGCCACCCCTGCAAGAAATAAATGAATTCCAAATACTTTTGGTAAATCCAAAGAAGGTTTTCCAGTACGTTCATCACAAAATATTTCTAGATCCCAATAGACCCAATGCCAAATAGCCGCCAAAAAGCACAAGCCCGAAAACACAATATGTACTGCGGCCACACCTTCGTAACTCCAAATACCCGGATTCGTTATAGTGCCTCATGTGATATTCCAACAACCCCACGAATTGGTTATTCCTAAACGAGTCATGAAGGGTATAACGAACATACCCTGTCTCCACATTGGGTTAAGAACCGGGTCAGAGGGATCAAAAAATGCTAATTCATATAAAGCCATTGAACCGGCCCAACCAACAACCAGAGTTGTATGCATTATATGGACAGAAAGTAAACGGCCGGGGCGAGTTTTTTGTTGAAAGTATTCTCTTTTTTATCAGAAAGATAAACAGTAATATCTTCTTCTTCTTCATTAGTTTCTTCCTTTTCCCAATCTATTGTAGCTTTGACTTCCTCCAGGTCCCTGTCATCGTATCGCATCATTTCCTCAATATAATAATATGGGAGCGGTGTTCTTCCTAAATAGTGTGCAAAGCTAACAAATTAAAAAACAACAAATATTTGCCCCACATAATTTCACAATTGTAGGAGAATGTATTTATCAAATCTCATAGTTATCTTATATTTGATCGTCTTTTTGTGTTGTAACCAGACTAATACCAATCCAATACATTTCATTAAAAAGATGTGACCTATTAACCACCCAATAAAACTACTTGGGGCAACAGTAGATGATGTTCTTGATATATCGTCGTTATTATTCAGGGGCTTATATTCATCTATATATTAGAACTATATGGTATCAAGAATTTCAATTTTTGAGAAGTATAATAGACATCCAATAATGGGGATTTCCTTTTTTTCAAATGAACTGTTTGCAGACCTATTGATTCTAACAACTGATTCTCGAGTGAATCATTCATACGTTTCAATTCATACATATGGATCTGGGACCTATGAACGGGCATACTCCCGAAACTCACAAAGAAAAAAGGAAGTGAGTTAGACAAAAAGGGAAGAAGCTTGGACAAAAAGAAACAAAGTGACTTAGAAAAATCTTTTTTGTCGATAACCTCAGCCCAATCAATCGAATATGAATTCATATGTAATCGATCGGACACTACGTTAAAACAACTATTCTGCTCTCTCAAAAAGAATTGTATTATTCTACAAGAGATGGAATCTTTTTTTGAATCCCTACCTAAATTTAGAGTAGTAGCAGAAAAAATTTAGATAGATCGTCATATATAACTAATGAATATCTACTATGACATTTACATTTTTGTTAGATTAAGCATCCATAATAATTCAAATAAATGACGGCTAGAAGATGTAATAGATACTTTAGAACCTATTAGCCCAATTTAGGTTCTAATACCACATAGGAGATGGAAAATTCGTTTTGGAATAAAGAATTTTGTACTCAATAAGTAGTTCCTATAACAAAAGAATTCTTCGATATATTTCTTGCTGGAAGTATCCCTGATCCCATTGATAACGAGTATGACCAAATAATTCAATCGGGGTAGTTGCTGAACCATACCATATAGTTCCAGCAACAACAAAAGCTGCAAAAAATACAGCAGCGATACTACTGGAAAGGACGGTTTCAATATTTCCCATACGCAATCCTTTGTATAAACGTTGAGGTGGACGCACACTAAGATGGAAAAGAACCGCTAATATGCCCAATGTCCCTGCTGCAATATAATGAGAGGCTATTCGCCCCGGAACAAAAGGATCAAAACCGTCCACACCCCATGCGGGATTTATAGATTGTACCCTTCCTGTTAGTCCATAAGGATCGGATATCCATATTCCAGGACCAAATAATCCTATTACATGAAAGGCGCCAAAACCAAAACACGCCTCCCCTGCAAGAAATAAATGAATTCCAAATATTTTTGGTAAATCCAAAGAAGGTTTTCCAGTACGTTCATCACAAAATATTTCTAGATCCCAATAGACCCAATGCCAAATAGCCGCCAAATAGCACAAGCCCGAAAACACAATATGTGACGCGGCCACACCTTCGTAACTCTAAATACACGGATTCGTTATAGTGCCTCCTGTGATATTCCAACCACCCCACGAATTGGTTATTACTAAACGAGTCATGAATGGTATAATGAACATACCCTATCTCCACATTGGGTCAAGAACCGGGTCAGAGGGATCAAAAACTGCTAATTCATATAAAGCCATCGAACCGGCCCAACCAGCAACCAGAGTTGTATGCATTATATGGACAGAAAGTAAATGGCCGAGATCATTTAATACAACGGTATGAACATGATACCAAGGCAAACCCATGAAAATACCCCTTATATCAACAAAAAATAGACACTATGTAAATTTATTGCACTGTAAAAAACTATGATATGGACCTTCCCCTTATTAGTAAATTATATCTCATGAAATAATTTATATTTGTTCTAGTTTTTTATAAACAAAGGACCATTCTATGCGTTGGAACAAAAAGAAGCAGATCTATTCTATATCCGATAAGTAACAATACACAATGGAAATGGTGGTGGGGTTTAGTTTTTTTTATATGCGTGTTTATATCAGTGAATGCAGACACTGGATACTAATACAAGAACAACAAATCCCTTTTTTCGTCAAAATAAAGATTCGTTGTTCGTGTATTAGACACACACAAAAAAAGTCTACGGGTCTTTCTTGGTTTAATTACAATGATAGAGCTTTCTATATATATAGAAGACTTTCTTATACTAGAACTAGAAGCTGAGGGTTCTTTACATTCATTATTAGCTTCGGACTATAAACTGAGGATCAATGAAAATGTGAATAGGATTAATTGGTTTCTAATAATATAATTCATGAAGCAAAGAAGAATATTTCTAGAATTCAATTCGATAGGAAATATAGAAATATACTTTTTTTGGTTGTCGGAGATCCTTTTTGTTAGAATCCCCTCTTTCATTTTAAAGAATTCAATTCATTAGTCTTCTAGTAACACGAAACAAGAATAGCAGTAGAGACATATCCAAGAATGACCCAACCCCTTGGACTGCAACGAAAAACACCATCTGATTTTAAAGTAGCACGATCTAATTCAAAAATTTCACCCAATTGAGCACGTCGAGCATATTTTTTCACAGTAGTAGGATCACTATAACTGACTCTATTGAGTTCACCACCATAGAATTCAACAATTACACCGACTTGTTCGACACTATACTTCGATTCTGCCCTTCGAAAAGGAACACCCGCTCTAACAATTCCGTCTCCATCTACCAAAACAACCGGAAATGTTTCAAAAAAAGTAGGCATACGACGTACAAAAAGTTCACGCCCCTCTTTGTCTCTAAAGATAGGATTCCCTAACCAACCAACCGCTATTCAATCTCCATTGTCCATTGAGCCCGCTCTAAACAAACCCCCTTTTGCGGATTATTACCAATGTAATAATAAAAAGCTAATTTTTCAGGAATCTTAGACCAAGCTTCTGATAAACTTTGATTTTTGACTAGCCCATCACCAACTCTTCGATATATTTCTTGCTGGAAGTATCCCTGATACCATTGATAACGAGTAGGACCAAATAATTCAATCCGGGTAGTTGTTGAACCATACCACATAGTTCCAGCAACAACAAAATATGCAAAAAATACAGCAGCGATACTACTGGAAAGGACGGTTTCAATATTTCCCATACATAATCCTTTGTATAAACGTTGAGGTGGACGCACACTAAGATGGAAAAGACCCTCTAATATGCCCAATGTCCCTGCTGCAATATGATGAGAGGTTATTCCCCCCGAAACAAAAGGATCAAAACCGTCCACACCCCATGCAGGATTTATAGATTGTACCATTCCTGTTAGTCCATAAGGATCGGATATCCATATTCCAGGACCAAATAATCCTGTTACATGAAAGGTGCCAAAACCAAAACACGCCACCCTTGCAAGAAATAAATGAATTCCAAATATTTTTGGTAAATCCAAAGAAGGTTTTCCAATACGTTCATCACAAAAGATTTCTAGATCCCAATAGACCCAATGCCAAATAGCCGCCAAAAAGCACAAGCCTGAAAACACAATATGTGCCGCGACCACACCTTCGTAACTCTAAATACCCATATTCGTTATAGTGCCTGGAGTTAAACGGTGAGATATAGAATTATTACGGATGCTATATCTCTTTGTTGAAATGATCCTTATTGAGTCACATGGATTCATTAGGTCTATAGTAGATATTTTTATCCTTTAGACTATGTTCTTGATATAATCAAGAACTCATTATCTAGTCTATGGCCGCTTCCCTATGGTACTAGTTGTTGCTTCATTAAATTTGCTTCATTAATAGGATCGTGATTTGACTTTGATCGTTATGGACTGGTACCACGATCTAGTCCTAGGCAGGCAGACCTCATTTTAACAGCGGGCACCGTAACTATGAAAATGGCTCCTCCTTCAGTATATGATCTAAATGAGTCGCACATACACCTTAATACATGTTCCTCGGCGTTGAGGGCATCCCCGAAGAGCGGGAGATTTTGTTACAATCTGGATTGGCTGTCTTGTGTTTCTATTAAGTTGGTTTATAGTTGGAATGGTTCCTTCATTTCAACCTTGATCTTTCTTTAACAACTTAAAGATCGGTTCACACTTTACAGTCATGTGGGAAATGAATCTGGAAATATAATTCAAACGCCCGAGGAAACCCCTGACTTGCTTTTCAGTTCTTGGTGCTAGAATTTCTTGAATTGTTTGACTTTATAAGAGTCAACTTCAATTCCTTTCTGGCTAACGATAAAACCCAACAATTTCCCCGATCTAACTCCGAAGGTGCACTTATTTGGATTCAAGCGGAGACGATACTTCCTCAAACGCTGAAACAACTTCAACAAATCTTTTATATGCCCTTTTTCAGTTTGGGATTTTGCAATCATATTATCAACATATAATTCAATTTCCTTGTGCATCAGATCATGGAATAGGGTTGTCATAACCCTCTAATACGTTGCACCAGCGTTCTTCAACCCGAAGGGCATCACTCTGTAACAGAATGTTCCCCAGGGTGTGATAAACGTTTTTTTTCCATGTCCTCTGGAGCCATTCTTATTTGATTATACTCGGAAAATCCGTCCATGAACGAGAATACCTTGAATTTTGTTGTGTTGTCTACTAACATGTCAATGTGAGGCAATGTAAAATCATCTTTCAGACTAGCTTTATTTAGATCTCTGTAATCTACGCATATGCGGAATTTTCCGTCTTTTTTTGGTACTGGGAAAATATTGGCAATCCATTGAGGATACACTGCCGTCACAAGAAAACCAGCATTAATCTGTTTTAGGACCTCCTCTTTGATCTTTACTGCCATATCTGGGTGGGTTCTTCTCAACTTTTGTTTAACTGGCGGACACTCTGGCTTCAACGGCAAATGATGCTCAACAATGTTTGTATCTAGACCAGGCATATCTTGATAAGACCAAGCGAAAATATCCACATACTCTTTCAACATCTCAATCAACCCGCTCTTCACATCAGGATGCAACGATGCTCCAATCTTAATTTCCTCCGGATCTTCTTCTGAACCCAAATTAATCACTTCCAAAGACTCCTTATATGGCTGAATGGTATTTTCCTCGTGCTCAAGCAACCGTGAGACCTCTTCTGAACCTCAATCAACATCTTTGATTGGAGAACTTTGCATTGGTGGATGTCTTTCCACGAGAATCAAGCTCACCATGTCAAGTGGGTCATAGCCCTTGATTCAAGTTGTTGTACTTGATCTTTAACGGTGTTTGTTTAGAGGAAAATGAATCCTCTTGCCCTTTGGTAGACGTCTGGTTCAACGTGACCCTGCATCGAAGACCCTTGAGATTCTTGAAATGGTTATTGAAAATGTTATGGTATGATGTTATGATGTTATGTACAAGTATGCAAAAGTAAGCAAGTGTATATACAAATAATAACATTCACACAAAGCAGACAAGTCCTTAGGTTTAGGCTTGCATGGGGTTCATAGGTAAGTACCCTCTTGAAGTTAGTTGGCTCAACCTGTCCTAGAAACAGTAACCGGGTTCTAAAGAGCTCAATATCACTGGATTATTTTCTGTGTTCATTGTTTCAGTTTAGCCACTTAACTAGCGACCGAAATATTCCAAGAAAACAACCCTCAATGAGTGTAGTATCGAGTATCTACCAACTTCAGACTGCACCAAAGTCGGTCATCTCACTACTCCTAATAAGGCCAAGATGGTCAAGTAAGGTTCTAAGAGTTCATTAGTGTTTTATGACTTCACTCAGCGGGCCCGTATTCTCTTTGATTAACTCAAAGGCTACCGGTACCCACAAATATGTCGCACTAACGTAGCCACTGCTTCAACCATGTCGGTATACCCCACACAGTTCCCTCACAGTTTATTGCTACTTACCTAAAAGGTGCCCCCAAATCCGGGTGTAGGATTTAAAATAAACCCAAACAAGGAACCAAAAAAGTAAAGCATACAAATCAAGCAAGATAAGCATGTAAAGTTGATCTAAAACCCTAAGGTAACCCCACTTTTAAATTAATCCCCAACAGAGTCGCCAATTCTGTGATACGGTGGGAGAACTGACTTGAGGTTTTGTGTTTGTGTTTGCAATTGTTCTGTTTAGTAAGAGTCGCCACCGACTTTTTATTTTATCCTAAGGAAAGGTCAAAAAGCACAGGAAAGACCTTTGAGATGTTTTCTCAGGTTCAGGGGGTAGATTATGAAAAGGGAAGGTGCAAGCACCCTTTTCATCCATGGTTTTCCATGGGCTCTTAGTTACTTGTTTAGATCACTTGCTTTTGCTTTTCAATTGTTTGAAATGGTGCTTTGTGTGTGTGGTTTTGAAAATGCTTTGAAAAAGAGGCCTTGTCTTAGGAAACCTTTGTAATGATTCTTGTTTGAATATATACAAAGGTGTATGTCTTTTTGAAAAGATATTTCAATGTTTGAAAGTTGTTCTTGGAAAATGTTTTGAATTGTGTTGTAAAGTGTGTTTGAAAATAGCAAGGATGTTTCGCAAGATTTTGATCAAGTAACTAAGAGTTGTCTACCCTATTTTACTCAAAGATCTTTTCTATACGTTTTTAACCCTTTTGACAGTGTTATTTCACCATTGCATTTGGTGAACAACCTTGTGTTAGGATGTTAAATTGGACAAGCGTGGGTCATCGGATACAATCATTGAAAGCAACTTGTGAGACACTCTAGCAATTTTGTAAGGGATGAGATCGTTTTATCGAAGGCAACATCGGGGGTCATCGAGGGACTACGATCTTTGTTTATCGAAGGGGCATTTGCTAGAGTGTCTCATATTCGAGGGACATGATTGCATTTCCGAGGAAATAAGCGGGGTTACCCTAGAGGTGCAAGTGTGCATTGTGTTTGTCATTTTCATGCATTTGGATCTTGTATTAGGTCATCTAGCGATTGATTTTGAATCTTGCCATACACGCCTAATTACTATACAGTATATTGAAAGCAATAAATTGCGGGAATTAAAAGTCTAAGCTATTACAAAAGTATTTGGGAATGGGGGTACAATTATTTACAAATGGGGATGAGTCTCACAAGAATAATAATGTCCAAATATTACAACCAAATCGAATCGTCGCAATTCAAATATAAAGCTATAACAAAACATAAAAATAAAGAGAATCAATAATATTATGAGATGCATGTATTTATTTACAAATAAAAAAAATATATTCTAAAAAAAAGAAAGATTAAATATTATATTATTATTATTCTTTTTTATATTTTTATTAATGTAACAATTATTAATTAATAAAGAAAAATAAAACTATATTAATAAAATCAAAGTAATTAGTCAAAACAAAATTTTAATATATTATTTGGTTTTATTATTAACAAAAGAAAAGAAAAAAAATTATTTAAAATGAATTTAATTAAAAAAAGGGTATTTGTTTAAACAAAAGAAATGAAATTAAAAAATAAAAAGATGATGGGCTTATGGCATTTAGGAGTTGGGCCCAAAACCAAAACAGGGAAGAGGAGAGTCAGCGCGGAAAAAAAAAGGGGTAAGCTAGCAAAATTATTATGGGCTTAAGGGATTGGTGTGGGACAGGCCCAATTTCACAAAGTTTGTTTCAATTTGTTAGGGTTCTCAGAATTAGGGTTTGTGCGAATCTCTTCCAGCGGCGCCGCTCTCTCGTTCTCTTCTTTGTCTCTCTCAAACAAGCGCACTGATTCTCCCTTAAGCCCTAGGCCGCCGGAGCGCTATCCCCACTCTCTATCTTCTTCCTTAACATTCAAGGGCTTTGGACTGAACGGTATGATTTGTCCTCTTTCTAGGGTTTTACATTTTTCGTTGTTTATGTGATTTTACAGTTTACAAGCTTATTTGTTGTTCATGTTTGAGGTGCAGTAAAGGTTTGAGAAAAACGTACCTTGGGATTTTCTGGAAGGTGGAGGGAGAGAGGCCGGAGCTGGTGGCGCTCCTGGTGGCAAGAGGCGGAGGAGGGAGGAGATGATGAGCTTCGTGTTTTTGGTATCTCTCTTTTGTTCCTTAAAACTTGAATGTTAATGATGATTCTGATTCTGAGACTTGTTGTTTGATGGATTTCGTTGATCATGAATTTAATTCTGAAACTGTGTTTGTTTATTTCACTTCTTGAAAACTTTGTTTCCTCTTTCCCTCTCTCTTGATTT